TAATGTTAAGTTAATTATTTAATTAGATTAATTATCTTGATTAATTAATTTTTAATTTTCAATTAACTTAAATCTTGATCAAAGTCAAAGTTATCTTTTATTTTATCTCAATTTCACCCACAAGTTTTATGATTAAGCAATTCAGTCCCAAAGTTTTAAATCTTTTTAAATCAGTCCTTCATGTTTTCAAATGTAATCAAATTAGTCCCTTTAATTTTATTTGTGCTTAGGATGCATGCTTGTTTTTGATTTTGTCCATTTTAGTCCAAAAATTTAACAATGTCACAATTTGGTCTATCCCTTTTCCAGACTTGCCTATTAAGACTCAAATATAAACATGATGAATAAGTTGAATCAAAACCCCCAATGTTAAAGTATGCAACCGTGTTTAAACGGAGGATTGTGAGGTGCGCGTATGCCCTTCCTCACTCCTAACTAAACCCCCGAACCCCGATCTCTGCGCATACCCGTTTTAGGTGACTTGTCCCACCTTATAATTTGGAGGAGTGGCGACTCCCTTTTTCTTATATATTTTACACTTAATTTTTCATTGTTTTGAAAAATCTTAAATGGTCGTCAACAGTTTGGCGACTCCACTAGGGATCGAACCCAGAATCTCTAGTTTCCATATTCTGGGTTCACGAGGGTCGAGCTAATACTTTAACTTTGGGGAATTTTCAACTTTTGATTTTTCTTTGTTGGTTGAGTCTTTGTGGGTCTTTGTCATTTGTTGCATGTGCTTATTGCGTGTTGCTTGTTGTTTGTTGCTTGTTGCTTGTTTTGGTTGTTGCTTTTACTGTTTTTTGCATTTTAATGATTATCTTACTATATCATGACATGCATCATACCTTGCTCACATGTTCATGCATCATCTCATCTCACATGCTCATGCATCATTGATGTTACATACTCATTCATCATGCACCATGCTTACACGCTTGCTTGCTTGTGTGCGAATATACTCACCTTTTACACTTAGCTATGGAGTACTCAGTGAGTCTCTTCTCTCTTGTGCGATTAATTATATCTTGTTGCATGCTAAGTGTTGGTTGCTTTGTGTTACTAACCTTTTGCATTTGGCATGGAGTACTAGGTGAGTCCCTTCCTGCTGTGTAAGTAGGTGTGTTTGTGGATGCTATATCTATTGAGTGTTTTATATGCTTTATTTGATTGCTATGGGATATATGTTGTTATTTTTGTGGTTGCCATTATGCAGGTTATTGAAGTGTCATGCCCCTTGCACACACACCCACTCTCATTCTGCATTAGGTTCGTGTCAGAGGTGAACCCGACCTCTAGTCTGGAATCCTTACAATCTGGCTTGGAAGAGCAATTCTTCCCGCTTTGAGGAGTAAGATCGGTTCCCGTTAGGTTGTTTCCATTGGTTAATACGACACTTGATGATGTAATATCATCTTGTGTATTAGCTTTTGGAAATATCTCCCATTGATTCCGAGAGGATAAATGGTTGAAAAGGCCTAATGCCTTTTAGGAAAACATGTATTGACCTTAGGAAGGTGCCAACCCTAGGACATGTTTCCTTTAGCATCCCACTCGTGAGGCTAGACATCCCATGCTTAGGACACAAAAGGGGCATTTTATTTCACTAACCTTTGTTTGCGCATATGACAGCTTATTTTTGCACACTTAATGAAGTATGGCATGTGAGGGTATGATTTCTGTTTAATTTATTTAAGCCTTTTGTTTAGGTAAGATCATGCATTAGACAAGGATTTTACTGAGGATACAACTAGACAAAGGAAGAGACTTGGTGAAGATGTCACATCTCATTCTATTGCTAAAAAGGCCAAGGGGTCCATCTTTTCAGTCAATACCTCCAAACCCGACTTGTTGTTGAAAGAGGCTTATGGCTTGTTGTCCTCGAGGGAAAAGCATGACTTTGAGGTTCGATTTGGGTGCATTAGGGATCTATTGTTAGTGATGCCGGATTGGGATTTGTTCAGAGCCATGTTGAAATTCTATGTGCCAAAATGTCAAGCTTTTGGTGTTTCCACATTTTGAGTTGGTGCACACCATTGATGAGTATCATCACTTCCTGCGTTGTAGTCCTGCGGTGGATTCTTGTACCTTTACTCCTCAAATACAACTTGATCAACTTGGAGGAAAATTTGTTACTTGGGAGCTTTTGTACAAACATCAGAAATCTAGATTTGTCAAAGAAAACTTGCTGGAATGTATACTATCTTTCTTCTTAGTCAAAAGTGTATCCGATGAAGTAAAATCCATGATTAGGATAGAAATTTTCATTTTTCAAGTCTCATATCACATATGCATATTCATTTGATTATACATGATCACTCATTATCTTTATCTGGTCATTTTGTGTTTAGTTCTCAAGCCCTTTTTGTTTGGACCATCTGTGATCTTTGAAAAGAAATATCGATTCTCACACATCCAAGACAGAAGCTTCTTCACAGAAGACTTTGTTGGAGTTTTCTGCCCGTACTCAAAGGCTCAATGAAGAGACCATCTCTTATCTGCACTAGTTGACTAAGGACAATGAACACCTTCACAAAGCCAATGAGCAGTTGGAAAGGCAACTACAAGACATGACTATCGACTGTAATTACCATGGAAGATGTGCACTGTCAACTCCAAGCCTAGAAGCAAAAGAACCAAACTCTTGTTGAAGAGAACACTAGCCTGCGTGAAGTTGTCAGTGACATAACCGCTTTGGTGACTCAATTTGAAGGGAAGATGTTGTACCTATGATTTTGATGATTACAAAACACATTTGAGTGACTAATTGGTTTATTTAAGTGTGTAGTTAAGTTGTTAAAAGATTGCAAGTAAACTTGGATTGCACTAAAAATAAACCAAAAGGATTCAAATGTGCAAAGAGCCGGCTCTGGTAAAGTGCAGCCGGCTCTACAGGCAAAAATTTGAAGACCGTTGTTGGCGCGTGCGGAGAAAAGACGCAAAGCCGGCTCTGGCTTTGTAGCCGGCTGTGAGGGTGCATTTAATGCACAACGGTCGAGTCATTTGAAGATTATTTAATGTATTTAAAGTCGGAGTTGCAAAGCCGGCTCAAAGTTTTGCAGCCGGCTCTCGAGAAAAACAGAATGTGCTGCAAACCCGGATAGCCGGCTCTGAAAGTGTAAGC